TCTGAGGTTGTTCATTCGCTAAGGTTGGTTATTTTTTCTTTTCATGAAATATTTTTCTTTGTTATTTTACGTGGTATTTCCTTATTTATAGGTGTCGAAGGCAATCAAATGAAGGATGCTACTCCTTCAAGTCATGAGAATACAATGGAGGATGGTGGTTCTTTGAGCCTTTCGGGGAAAAAGTTCCATGGGTGGGTTACTGTCGGATTCACATACAAGAGTTGGACCACTAATTTTGCATAATAGAATATTAGACAAAAGTTGCTCATCTCTATTTTGAAGATAGATTTAGTTTAAGCAAAAGTTGGGCAAGCATTTGGATAAGCTTTTCTTTCACATCTTTAGATTTCTCTCCTTGGCTGACGTGCATTCATTCTGCAGATATTTTGAAGCATTGAGTTGCAACTATAAGATTGCATTAATAACATCACGTTGCATTTAGAATTCCATTCTTTCCTTACATTTCAGCTTCGTGACAGTTTCTTTCTTTTTTATCTTCAATGTGTGTGCAGGCTTAAGAAGCACAAGGAAGGCTGCCTATGTGCTATATGTGTAATGATGCGTCGCAGGCAGGAGAGAGAGGAGGTTGCTCGGATGATGGGAGGACAAAATGAAGGCAGTGACGACTCTTTGGGCGATGAGATCAGGGCAGAGGTGTGTTTCTGCCTTCAATGTTTGATACTTTCTGTCTCCTCCTGTTGCTTTATACATCTCATCAAACCAGAAGCTGTTAACATATTCATAAAGATCGAGAATTATATGTTTCTGGTGTACAATGTGATTTCATTTGTATATTTCTAAAAAAACTACAGCTTCAATTTTTAATGTATCGATGCTATCACATTGAAAATAGTCTATTTTTCTTTGCCAATAAATGCCTTCTTTTCATCTTCTCTTGTGAAGGGTGTATCACATGGAGGAAGTCCTTTTGGTGAGTATACTTCATCAAATATGGAGAACTCACCAGATGCAGACACTGGAAGAAAAGGACAAGAGATAAAGTTGGGAGATATCAAAAATCTATATGGCCAACAAAGGGAGAATATTACAATTGCAGGAGAGGGTTCTCGAGATGAAAATAGTAGACATTATCAGATGCCACATCTGGGTTCAGGAGGAAATGTATCTAGTGACACCTGGAAAGAAATGCCTTTCCAGCACGAGGATGAAGGTGCTGCAACTGATCAACTAAAGCCCAAGGTATCACTTTCTTCGGAAACCTTTTACTGTTGGCTTTATGAACTTGATGCTGATTACTATTTTTCATAGATGGAACAAACGAAACCTTTCTAGATAATTAGAAGAGGTGATGAAAGAAAAGGGGGCCATCTCCATGAAGGCAAATTTTAGAAGATAATAATGCTTTTCTTTCAAATCTTTTAGGATATATTTTGAAGTCTAATGGATTTTACGGACTTCTCAACCCTGGGAATTTTCTGTCTCATATATTCGACAAAAAGAGTATCGTTTCCGTTTTCCCTCATTCTTTTTCTAGAAAAAAGTGTGTGTGATAGATACATCAATTAATAGCATACTTTAAGCAAGACTGGGGAAATAAATCAACAAAGCTTCCTTAATCTTCTAATCTGTTGTTATCTATTTATAAACCTCCACTGAATAGCACTAGAAGAAAAAATTACGGATGAGGAGGAACTTTTTGATTTGCATTTCTTTTTAGCATTGGACGATTGGGGTCAAGATTTTTCCTATTTCCTCCTCCGGTTTTATCTTTATAGATTGATTAGTTGCCTTGGGACTGGGAATTATGTGTATAAAAAGTCACCAAGAATTGTGGGAGTAATTTCATGCATTCTTGGATTTAGTTGTGTTTTGACCTATTGTTATCAATGCTCACTGTATGCAGCAGGTGCTAGATAAAAACCAGAGAGCTAAAATGTTGGAGAATCTCCGTTACTTGGAAAATCCAATGCTTTTAGAGCTATGCGGAACTCTCTTTTCGGAGGATAACAGATCTTTCTGGAGCGGACCTCATTCATTGGTTGAGCGCCGGAGTTCAACCCGCAAGAGTTCCATTCATGATGCTATTGCAACATTTATGAATTAATTGCTTAGGTTTTGAATGTTTGAACTATACTGGATTGAGTAGTTGAAGTAATCTCACTTCATTCTTGTAGAATGTATCATACAAATTGATGGATCTGATTTATATCAGCAATTTTTAAGTGTGTTCAGGCAACAGCATTCTAGTTGTGTCACCTGATATGTGCATAATATTTGTGTAGCAGGGTAAAATTGGCTGACTCAATAGACTCCTAAAAACACAGTCCAAGCAAAATTGATGATGCAAAGTTTATAAATACTATGTTCCTATTTTGCCCCCATTAAGTTAAATTTTATTTTTCTTTTTTATTTTCAATCATACAATTTTTCATGAAATAATACTACACGTAAATTAAAATTTTTCCTTATTTTTTTAGTCGCTCATTTTTTAAAGAGATATTATTCTATCCATTTTTATTTCAAAAAATGGGGCCAAACGCGTGACCTAAACAAAAAGGTCATTTTTCCAAAATAGTATTTGGCTAATTTTGATATCCAAAATATCCCACTTTATAATATTACATAATAAGTTAATAAAATATAGAAATCTTTCATTTTAGTCCTTAAAAAAATTAAATATTGCTTGAATTTTAATAGATTACCAATTTATTTGATTTTTGTTCGCTCTAAGTAGCACTCCCATTTATTGGTATCAGAGTCATAGAGATCATGAAAATTAAAATAAGAAAAATAGATAATTATTGGCGTTTAGAAGAAGAGAGAGGTAATTATATATTTTTAAAACCTATTCATAATAAATTAAAAATAATGATACTAACAAAAATTAAAGAACTGCCTAAAGAAATAAAGGAACAAATATTACAAAAATTAATAATAGAAAAAAAAAGATATATATATGAAAAAATTATTAATATATATGAAGATGAAGAAAATAATTTATATTATAAAGAAAAATATGAGTACAAGTAGTAATACACATTTAAAATTAAAGAAATTACTTATAAAAATGGAAAAAATACAAGAGGAAATACGATATATAATGTTAATACCAGAAGAAATGAGAATATCAAATAATAGACAATTATTAAAATTAATATGTGAAAAATTAAGACTTGAGAGCATATATTTTATTATAGTAAATGAAGAATTAGTAAATCCAGATACAGCTAAGAGAAGATTTGGAAAAATAATAGATAAAACGGAAGATAAAAGATGCAAATTAACCTATGAGTTAGAAATAAGAAAAAATTAAAGATGTCAATAAGCGAATATATGGAAGAATTAAAGTCATTAATAAAAATATTAATAAATAATTTACAAGATTTAAGAAATAAAGTAAAAGAAACAAGAAATGATATAAATATATTAAAAATTGAAATTAGAGAATTAAAAGAAAACAATAAAAATAAAAATAAAAAAATAGATAAAAAACTTATAGAAAAAGAAATGACTCGAATAGGAAAGAAACATATACAAAAAGAGAATATAGTAATAGAGACAGGAAGTATGGATGATGAATTTAAAAAGAATATATTACCAAAAATATTAGAAGAGGAAGAAGAATCTAGAGAAAAATCATTAGGAAAATTAAAAATAGAAGAAAAAGAAGATGAGTGAAGAATTAGATTTGCTAATAGAAAATTTTGATCAATTAAGTTTAACTGATATAAGTGAATACTAAGTTTTAATGAATACTGGAGGAAGACCTAATCCAGTAGAAACCTCTAAACAGAAATTACATGATACAGATGAAAGTTATGCACCTATATATAATAAACCATATAGACGATTTTATGATAAAGTAAGAGATAGACAACCACCTAAAGAAAATAAATATAAAGATAAGTTTGAATTAAATGATAATTATAATAAATCAATTAATCATGGAGGAACAAAACTAGATTTAGATTGTAAAATAGATACCAAAAAAACCTTTTTAACTTGAGCAGATTCAATGATATTATTTTTTTTATATAATAAAGATGACAAATGAGAAAATACTGAAAGAAGAATAGATTTTTTAATAGCATCCTTTGAAGGAGATGTTAGAAATTGGTGGGAATGAATAAGTAATGATACAAAAACATTAATAAAAAGAAATGTACAAACAGAAATAATCAAGTCAGATAGACAATGTATAGAAAAATTAGTAGAATATATTTCAGATGAATTTTTAGGAGAAAATTGGATAAAAAATGCTGAAAGAGAATCAATAAAAGAAAAAGATAATGCTAGAATGAAATTAATAAATTTAACAATATGTGATTTGTGTAAAATTAAATAATATACTTGTGAATTTAAAAATTAATATTATTTTCAATTTTATAGTAATGAAAATCAAAAAGTTTACCAAGACATGTATTATAATAAATTACAGGTTCATTGTGAATATATTTTAAAATAGAATTTGAAAAATATGTTAGAGATAATATCGGAATGCCTAGAACTTTAGATTCAAGAATAAAAACTTTATTTGAAACACTTGCATATATATGTCAACAAAGACAATTAATAAAAAAATCAAGAAAATTAACTAAAATATGTTGTGAAAATATGGAAACCCCCGTGAATGGGGATGTAATCCTGAAAGAAGAATTAATAAAATAAAATATGAAAATAAAAAGTTTAAAAAATTTAGCAATTTTAATAAAAATTGTATAAAACTTAGAAGAAGGTATTACAAAAGAAAAAAAAACACATATAATCAATAGAAGAATAAAAAGAAAAATAAAAGCTAATGTAAATGTTGGAATTGTGGAGAAATATGTCATATAAGTCCTGATTGTGATAAAAAGAAAGTTATAATATTACGAAAAGAATATTTAGAAATAAAAGATGAATTAAGTGAAATATCAAATATTGAAGAATACTATAATCAAGAAGTATATAAGTGAAACAGAGGATGAATCAAGATCTGAATAGAGAAATTGAAGAAATAGAAAGTAATAACATAAATATACAAGAATATGAAGGAATAGAAGGATATGGATTAAAAGCCACTTTTGATAACAAGTTTATAAAATTACAAAAATTATCGTTAGACTTAAAAATAGGGAAATGGGAAGTTTTTGATAGTATTTGGAAAAAAGAAAGAATAGCAATAAATGAATATCACAAAATAGAAAAAAATCATAGATGTAAGGACAACTTATGGGCAACATAAATTAAATCTTTTAACAAAAAATACAGTTGAATAACAATTAACAAAGATTAGTAAAAAATAAAATGAAAAAATCCAATATGTTTATTTAACAGGAATACAAATAATGTTTAAATCATTATTTAGAAAAGGGATAGATTCACCCTTAGCTATAACTTTACATGATGGAAGAATAATAAATTTAAAAGATAGTCATTTAAGAACGATAGAAGGAAATTTAGCATATCAAAAAATTATGTTTACATGTTATCCAAAATATTGTGTATGATTAAAAGATAGAAATTTTATCAAGTTTTAAGACTACATTTTAAACTTCATAAAGATAATATTATGCAACTAGGTGAACAAATTATGACTATAGAATATAGAGCTTTATATACATTTACTAATTCTAATTATGAGAATATTTATTCCAATAAATCATATATTGAAGTTCATAAAGAATGTAAAGACATTAGTAAAATAATAGAACCAAATAAACAAATAAGTTTAATTCTAGAAAAATATGAATTTAGCATAACAAGAAATAAACCTGAAATAACAGAATTAAATGAAGGAAAATGTTCTAATAATATTATATTTAAGGATGAGAAATTAATTAAAAGATCAAAAAGTATTAAAATACCTAATAAAAACTAGTTAGAAGAAACGAAGAAAATAAAAGAAATAAAATTGTATAGGAATGCTGGAAATATGAAAATAGAAGAAGAATATTATAATGGAAAAGAACATATAAATAGACTAAATATATTAATAGATACAGAAGTTAGTGAATGACATATAACTTCAAATAGAAATAAAGATCTAATGATTCATAAAACTAAGCCATATAAGTATGTAAATTTTAATGGACAAGTACATATTACAGATTCAGAAATTAAGGTACCAATAAAAATAAGAGGAATAGATCTTTTAGTACCATATTACATAGATAAGAGTATGGATATAAATCCCCATATACTTTTAGGAATGAGTTTTCTAAATGAATTAGAAGATTATAATATAAAAAAAGATGAATTATACATTGTTCATAATGGACAAACTACATTATGTAAAAAGAATTAAATGAATAATCAGATAAGTTTTCAATTAGCTATGTATATACAGATTACTATTATAGAAACAAATATAACAACTTGTGTTTTAATAGATGCAAGAAATGATATAACAATATTTAAAAGCTTTTTAATAAAATCATGGAATAATAATACTAATATAAAAATAACTGGAGTTACAGTAGAAAGTACTCAAATAATTAATAATGCTGATAAAGTTAATATAATTCTTGAAAGTAAACAAATAATAATAATAAAATTTATAAATATGATAAATTAAAATGTGATATATTATTAGGAAATGACTTCATACAACAATTTCAATATTATAAACAAAATAATTATATGATAATGCTACAAACACCTTGTGGACACTTATTAAAAATTTCTAGAGAATTTAAACTTTATAGAGTTCAGTCAGCCCAGCGTGGTTATAAATGAGAGAAAAAACCAATTATATATAATGAAATAAAAAATGAAAGAATATTATATAAAAAAGTTCTAAAAACAGGAATAAAAATGAATATAAAAAAAAAAAATCATTGAACAACTAGAAAAGGTTTATGAAGAAAATTCATTATTATTTTGGAAACCATATCACCCAAAAACCAAAATAAAATTAATAGAAAATGTTATAATAAGAGTTAGACCAATGATATATACCATAGAAGATACACAAGAGTGTAAAAATCAGATAAAAAGAATTGTTAGAACAAAAACTTATTAGACCTAGTAATGGACCTAATAGTAGCCCAGCCTTTATGGTTATGAAATATTCTGACCAAGTTAGAGGAAAAGTTAGGATGGTCATAAATTATAAAAAATTAAACAAATATACTAAATTTGATTGTTACTTTCTACTAAATAAAGAAGTGTTAATAAATCTTGCAAGAGGAAAACAATATTATTCTAAATTTGATTGTAAATCAGGATTTTGACAAATAAAAATAGAAGAAGATAATATA